AAAGCAAACAAAGCGTCAACTTCTTGTTTTTCTTCGCCGGCTCCTTCTTTCTGTTTCTGTTTCTGCCGGTGCTCAGCTCTGCTCTGCTTTTGGCCCGTTAAAATATTCGCATCGCGTGCCTTTGGCTTTTTACCTTTATGTCGTGTTCAGCATTAGCGTAGCTCCTTGCTCCTCCTTGGCTCTATCTCAATCCCGGTCGCCTGGATCCGTCGACACATGAAACGTGACTAAGCTGACAATTGTGTCGAAGTAAATCCAAGTTTTGTGAGCCCGACTAAATAAATCTCCTAGGCGAGCGCAAAACTTTGACAAACAAAGATTGTGGATGCGCAGGGCTTTGCAAATGACGCACAATGGCCCGTCTGCATGTGTGAGTGGGGCGGTACACGACAGGCGACATAAATAGTTGGGCAGGCTGGGGCTCCAGCTTCAGCTTTAGCTTCAGGTTTGGCAGGGCCTGGACTCAAATTTAATAAACTGTACACAATCACCTATGCAAAGGAATCGCTTGACCGGACCGGCACAAGGAACTCCCGACTAAGTTTTGACAACGTCGTGCGAGTGTGTGTGGCTGCTCTATTTATATGTCAATCGCAGGCGGTGCAAACACACGGACACGCACAGAGATACAAAGCTGGGCGGATGCTTTGGTGCAAGTGTAAACAGGGACTGTGGACCAGGGGGCGGACGCGCACACGCATACAGATGGCCCGCATTATGCTATGGCCCTGCCCCTGGGGGTCAAGGGTGGGGGGACAGGTCAAACTCGGCCTGTAACTGGATGCAATCACACACCCAGGGCTCTAATACACAGACACGCTATAAACAAAGCGTCCAATTGTCAGTTTAGGCGCCTTTTGTTTGCTCCTCTTTGCGTCTACCCTGCTGTCTGTGGCTGCTGCTTATCAACAAAATGGCAGCAGTAGCAGCAACAGCAGCCTTTGCCAGAGGAACAGCAGTGCAACACAAAAAAAAATGATTTCTGCACTACATTGCGTATACGCAGCGTGGCTTACATGTGCACTTGCATTTATTCATTGCTATTTTGTGTGGTCTGCGTGCTTTTACCTGTCATCATAGCTGTCTCTCTGGATTACTGTTATTATTGATGGTGCTGGGAGTTTTGCTGCAATGTAATGAGCTAGAAAACAGAATTCTCCATCGATTAAGCGATTGTCATCACCTTTTCCGGGCCCTGACTGCAATGCAATTTCCCGCTTGGCATCTTTATCTTTCGTTTCTCACTCACTTAACTCGGGCAGAGGGAAAACAGAACAATTGCAGAACGAAACTGTAGTTAAGAAGCGCTTCAGCAGTTGTCAGTCTGCGCCGCCCACCTGGGAACGCGTAAGGACCTGCTCCGGAGTCCGGACCCGGCTCAGGTCGCCTCATTTTCATTACTCCAGCCCAGCTTCACCTTCACGCTCGTCCCTCTGCTGGCAGCAATTCATGCTTAACTGACATTTCAGCTGTCATACCAAAAGTGTTTTACATTTCTCTCTCGTCAAGGGAGCCAGGAGCAGAGGAAGAACTTGCCTCTGCCGAAGGTGTTGGCATGCCCCCGCTGCCCATTGTTGGCATGCCACAAGCAGCTGGTGTCGCTTTTCGATCCCCGCACTCCGCCACCCAGCCCTTAATTTAATTAACATATTTCACTCGGCAGCTCGTGCTCGAGCTGCTTGAATGTTTTCATTCTTGGCCCGATTGTATCCTTAATTGAAGCTTTCCTGGACTTCTTCTATACGGCACTTTTTAAAATTGTCTTCAGTTTAGCAAGGAATATGCGAAATACTTTTCGGCATTTTCGCTGATTTTACATTTCGGTTTGTGGCTGCCTTTTTTTCTGCTGAGTGCATTATAAAAGCATTAAAATGCAAGCCAAAAAAGGATAGCCAAAAGTTGGGAGCATAGAAAGGGAAGCAGAAGGAGACAAAGCAAGCGCAGCAGGAAAATTCGCTTTGTCACATACACACTGGGGGAAACATTTGGCCCCGCAGCCCCCACCACCGCCCTTGGTTATCACTAAAGCTCGCCCCGCTTTTTCATGCTCCGTCTGACGAAATGCCATTACACATTTTGCGTTCCCTAAAATCAGCAGCAGCAACAACTACAGCTCCAGCTTCGCAACAGCTACAACTACAACGCATTCGCATTCAAAATGACAACGGCAACAGAAGCGCCAGCAGAGGAACAACAACAGGAGCAACACAAACAAACAGCGGAGGGGAAAAATAAACGCTGGGGGTTGTAGAAATGAAGATAAGCTGCTTATCAGCGCCATTCCCAGTAGTTGCCCGTTGTTCGTTCGCCAGGGCCTGCTTCTGCCACAGCCTCCACCGCATCCCGTCCCATCCCATCCCATCCTGCCACTTCTGCTCCTTCTTCTTGCCTCCGACTGCGCTTTAAGTGGTCGCTTGGCATTCGCATTGGCTCCCGGTTCATGGCAGCTCCTCTACGCCTGTCTGCATGTGGATATAAATGCGGATGGGGATGGGATGTGGATGTGGATGCGGATGTGGATGTGGATGTGGATGCGGATGCCAACTGGCAGGCAAACAGGCGACAGCAGCCACGACCAGTGCAGAATCCTCTCTGTTAGCCACTTTCGTTTGGCCCCCAACGTGGCCATTGTCATCGCTGTTGTCTTTTTTTGCCATTTGGCTAAGCCCTTGACTTGGCCAAGCCGAGGGGATCGACCAGAAGATACCCTTTGATATGGCATATTAGCTTTGCAAATGTGCCAAGTTTTGTTTTCAAATTAGAGTGAATGTGGCAGTCGAAGTTTGGTCACTGCCTAAGAAACTCGCATCCAAATGTAAAACAATTTTTTTTGCTCGATTGAAGCAGATTCATTAATTCATTTTTATAATTTTTGGAATATTATAATACATTACTATACATTATTATAATACATTATTATTTCAAGTCCCTGATAATTAAAACATTTGTTTTTCTAAAGTACCAACATGCCCACCAGATATGCACTGAAAGAATTGACATTTCCTCTTGCTTAATATTAAACTAATGCATGCAGCACGCCACAAGCTCCTCTCCATTACCCCTCCTCAGATCTTATGTGTATTTAAATGACGCCATGGCCTGTGCATGCAAATGGGGCTTGGTTAGCTACTTTAGCTTAACTTTTGCGCTTGATGACGATTTAATTGGAGGGCAATGCAGCGTCGAGGAGTACAAATATCTTCGGCTAATGATAAGTTTTCGAACGGGACAAAGGCAAATTCCTGAATCGCGACACTCATACGCACCGGGGACCGGTCCGGCCATTTTTCAATTTCCATTTTCTGCGCTTCAACTATAAGCGCCTCAAATCCGAAATCTAATTACACGCAAGGCAAAGACAAAAGTCCACAAATATTCCCTTCCCAATTTTAATCACAGATGACCGGCAGAGCAACTTTCCTGCTGCCAATTTTGAGTGAGCATTTTTGGGGCAACTTTTGGTGCTTTTCTGCTGTGTTTAACCGCGTGAAATAATCTTTGCTGGCAGGCAGTCGGCGCCAAATCCTGCGTCCCTCCCTGTATTTGTTGTTTTTTCCCCGGCAGTTGCTATGGGGGAGCGGCGCGTTTCATTATAACGATAATGCGCAGGCCCTGCGGCAATCCCGGCAGCAGGCCGAGCATCTCGTCGAGGCAGACAAGTTGGTGTCATATTTTCCGCAGCTTAAATTTCCCACAGCCAGGCCAGTGGCCACTTGTGCGCCCAGATTCTTCTGCCCCTCTGGTCCGGCTTACGGCGGAGGCAAAAAGAGCAGCAGGAGGAACTGGAATTGTCTCGGCCTAGCGCAATGCGATTAGGGCGAAGGAGGCTCTACAAAAAGGAGCTCCCAGGACTAACTAACTAAGCCAGAGGCAGCTCACACACGCACACCGGGTCCTTAGAGGGCGGATTAGGAGGATATCGTGGGGCGGGGTGGGACGAGGGACGGAATAAGGACAACGGGACGGATACGATTTTCGCGCCCGGCAAATCTCAACAAATTTGAAATTTGTTCCTTGGCCGTTGGCGCTTCCGTTTGTTGCCGCTTTTTATTAGGCATTTTTTCCGCTGCTCTGTCCTCTTTCGCTTTTGGCGTTTGAATTTGTCGAGCATCCTGTTTGCTCGGCCCCGCCCCCGCCCCCTCCCATCCCAATCCGGATCCCCCCAACGCCGCGCTCAAAATGCTTTTTAAGCCTACAAATGAGCTTAAAATTTTCTATGCGAGTGAATGCGAATGCTTTTGAAATTTATTACAGCGCAAGAAGTGAAGAGGATAAGGGGGCACACACATACACCGACACCCTCGTTGCGGCTGAGTGTGGGTGAGTATCAAAGGCATTTCGGCACTCGATTTTCGTCGTCCTCGTTCTCATCGTCGCCTTCTCCGGCATTGAAATTTTTGAGCGCGGCAAATTGAATTTCATTTGAATGTTTTTCCCTTATTTTTATTTATATCTTGTTACTCGATTTGGAAATTGCCTCTTGCCTGGTAATTTTCAGTTTTTACAGTTTTGTATCTATTTCTACCGCCCCTCGCTTCATCGCATTTGTATTCGGGTTTCCCGGGCTTGTTTGTTTAGCAAACACCCGAAAAGGAGGGACTGCCGAAGAGGACAAATTGAATTTTCTATGCTGTTAAATAATTTCATTTCGATTTTGTTCCTTTCGCCTGATTTTTGTGCCTGGCTTTCAATGCGAACTGATTGCAGTTCCCTCCCGCCTTTTTGCCATGGCTCCATTAAATCCATTTGTAGTTTAAAAATTCACGAAATACTTTTAGTGTCAAATGTGCAATGATTTCGGCATTCACACAGTGAATGCAAAACGTTAGAGAGAGAAGCACGAAAAAATGCGATTTGTCATCGCCCATTTTTCCAGGAAGCTCCGGCTCTGAAATGCAATTAAGCTAAAAATAAGTTCTCGATTTAAGCACATCACTCGTGTGCAAATATTTTGTGGCACGCCTGACTAATGCTCCCCGTATTTTTGCAACCTTTTTCAGGCTTCCTCCTGGAAGGAGTCACGCCAACGGCACCCCCGGATGTACCGCCGCGTAATCCGACAATGAGTCGCATGCAAAATGGTCGTTTAACCGTTAACAATCCCAATGACGTTGACTTTGAGCCATCTTGTTTGGTGCGAACGCCATCGGGCAACGTTTACATTCCTAGTGGAAATCTAAGTGAGTAAAGCCCGACAGATCGCTATCTGCATACCCTACCATCTACATACAAATCCCATTTGAAAAGTGTGCCGCTCGACTGCCCTCCCGCCATCCAAAAGCTGGCTGTCTAAAAGCCTCCGCAAAGCAATTTTTCCAGCCATATGCAAATCCAACCCGCAGCGAACCCAAACCTCCCATTCCGGGGCGACCATCAAAAAGCCACTTGACTCATTTAAATGTTTAGCGCTCGCATCGTGCACAAAAATTCCATTTGCCATATTGCTATAAAAATGCAAAATAGAAAAAAAATCGAACTGGCGGAAGGGAAAAGGCCGCAGCATTTTGCAAATTTTCAGCTCTTTGTTTCCTATGCGCCATGCGCCTAAAATGCCGCCATACATTTGCCATTTATTGTTTTTCCAACAATGTTCTTGGCCTTTTTTCCTCTGGGCTCAGTTCAGTTCGGTTAGAGTTGGTTTTGTTTGTGTTTTCGCTCTATGCATATCCGCAAGCAGGCTTTAGGGATAAAAACATTCGAAAGTGGAGTGAAAATAGTTGGCAGCAGCAATGGTAACGGCAACGGCAGCCCAACAACCCGAAAAAAGCCAAACGACCGCAGGGGCCTAAACAGAAACCCGGAAAAAACTGACAAACAACTGCGGCTCGCACATGGCGGCGAATGGCCGTCGGAAGATATGATGTGAACGGGTCCTAGCTATAGGGAGAGGGCATTTACGGATATATTAATTGATTGAAACCTTACCAACGGACTTTTATCAGGCAGACCGGCGGACCGCCTTTGCAGCGGATACTTGATGCACTACGCTGGCCTGTGAGCTGCGTACACTTGGTCGCTCGCCCAGAAATATCAACAAAATGCGAGAAAGTAACGAAAATGAGTAAACAAAGCACTTTGTTTCCCTGCTACCACGCCCACCTCCCACTTCTTTCGGACGACCAGTCTCGTGCGTATACATTTGTGTAGCACACTTTCGGGCCGCCGTTGCTGCTGCTGCCTGTGTATTTGCTTTATGCCGCCTTTTGTTTTCCTTTTGCATTGTGCAAATATACACGCTCACTCACACTGCTATGGTATGTATGTCAAGCTTTGTCTTGATTCTGCTGCGTGCCTTATAATTTTCCCCACCGTCTGTGTGTGTGTGTCCCATTTTTTATCCAGAGCATTTGTTCAAGTTCTGCGAATGCGCAGCTGGGCATTTGGCTTAGTTTCTGCTGTTGCTTTCATAACTTTCGGGTTCCAGCCGATTGTGGCCTGGATTTAATGCAGTGTTTCGACCGAATTTTGTGGCACTTTAACCTGGTAACTGCACACATTCACATTCCTCGGCACATCAATGCGCCAGACGGATTTTGCATATGACACTGCCTAAGTGTTCTTTCTGGCCGCCAATTTGCATTTTGCATATCGTTTATAGGCCGTCCGACCACCCCCCTTTCTGGCCCAAAGTGCAATTAAATGACTATTTATGAAATTCTATTTGCATTTATGCATAAATTGATAAACATTCTAACCTGCCAGCCGCAAAGTATGCAGCAGAGGGGCGGGATGCCCAGCAGGGGCTCCGTTGTCATCGTAACACAAATATTGATTAAATTCTATATCAAATTGAGATTCAGGTGGCCCCGCACACACACACACGCAAACTCACACACACATGGACCTGTATGAATAAACATAAACGGCACACACAAATACATGACATTTGGCAGCGGCCTCTTCATTCGCTCCCTGTCTCCATCTCTTTCCCGCCCCAAAGCTGAGAATATTTTCATTTCAATTTTTCCACCAGTGCCAATTTTTATGGAAAATATTATTTGTTGACTTCTGGCTCCCGAAAAACGAGGAAGAGCAGAACTTGCGAATGAATGAATGAATCAGGCAGAGGGAAAAGGGGGGAGGGTGCGTTTGGCCTACGTTATTTTTCAGGAAAACTTTGTCCGTAATACGATAGCCCCCTTGCATGTAGCTTAAAACTTCTGGCTGAGCTTCTGTACGGGGTATGAAAAAATGCTTATGCACCATATGCAAATACATATAAAAATGGGCATTCTGCACGATTGGATACACACGCGTGTACAATCACCGATGCAGACGCGCACAAACAGAAACACAAGCGCACACAGGCCCAAACCCATCGGGTAACGAAACAAAAGTTTGGCCAGGAGTTAAAAATATATGTGCACATCCCAGCAGAAAAATTGCATAAATTGCCACAGCCAGCGCGTAAAAAACGAGCATTTGGAGGAAAGCGTCCCAAACAAAAGTCGACACATTGAAGGGAAACCGGAGGGAGGTGCATTGCGCTGCTGTGATTCGGGTGCCTACCAAGCTCCTGGTTCCGATCCCGATCCTCTTCCCAGTCCCGCCCTCTGCCCCTGTGCTTTGATAAAACGCGTCCTGATTGGGCCTTACTTTACACCTTAAATTGTTAATGACCCGAGAGGGGTCCCCTTTGCCCCGTCTACAATCACAATGCCATGCACTTGAAACGGCGACTGAGCATTGGCCATGCAAAAGCAAACGGCTTCCGCTGTGTCTGCTGCCTGTCCTTTAAAAACTTTTTAGTCCCACATCTCGTCGAGTGTGGTTTCCACCATTGCCTGCTTCGTTTTCATTATAATAACAGGCCATTGCGGCATTTTGATGCGGCAGTCTGCACTGCTCCCCACTTGCCTACCTGCCACTTTCCCCTTCCTGTTGCTTTAATTTTTCATCGCTTTCGAGGCTAGTTTGCAGAAAAACTTTCCGCTGTCATTGACCGCTTGCCTCCACACTCCCAGAAGGGCGGGCGGAGTGCACCGAGCCGAGCGCCTAGTTCAAGCGCCTAGACCAAAGCCCACCACGCCCCCGGCGTCTGCGGCGCAGGTCCTGTCTCCGCCCGTGTGTCCTTCAGCTAGCTTTGCACTGTCCAGTCCAGTCGAGTCGAGACTCGAAGCTCGAAGCTCGGGAGTAGGAGTCGAACGTCGAGAGTCTAGTTCACTGTCTATTGGCCGGTCGTTATTGCTTTCGACTGGTTCTGGTTCTGGTTTATCGCTGCTGCCAGCCATGGAAATACTCGTAAATTTGCGAGCATTTTGCCAAAACCTCAACTGACCTCCACCCCCTCTCTTTGAGCTTTGGGGTACCCCAGAAACTGCTTTAAATTTGTATAAATATAAAGGCAGCATAGTGAGGGGCCAAAAGATATGGATAGAGCGAGGGCCGGCACGTTTTGGTTTTTGCTGCTGCTGCTGCTACTAAATTCATTCATAATGGGTTTTTGCCCCATTTCGGTGTGGCAGTAGCACCCCTTGCCACCTCCTCTTCGTGCACTGTATAGTGTATATAAATTTAACGTTTTTACACAAACTGAAATTTATTATGGCGCAGCAGAGTAATTTATACTTTATGCCTGCTAAGTACGGAGCCCCTCTGCAGCTCCATTCCTTGGCACCCGTTGAATGGATATGTGGCATATCCTTTATCCTGCAGTTTTCACGCACAATTTTAATTTTATCTGCAGCGCAGCGGCGCGAGGGGAAGCAGGTGGTGGCGGTAATGGAGGCGGAACCATGCCCATATCCATTCGATCTACGTTTCGGCTGCCATTTTTTGTGACGCTACAAATTGCCTTCGTGTTCCGCTTGGCACTTAACTTGCCAGACATATATATATCGCCTGCGAGTGAGTGTGTGAGTGTGCATATATCAGCATACATGCATTGGGCCACGGCTGTAGCTATGGCTTTGGCTTTGGGTTTGACTTTGGCTATAGGTAAGAGCTGTGGCCATTTCGGCCCTCGTACGTGGATTTAAGTCCGTCCCCTACCACAGTTGTTTTTCTGCTGTTTCTGTGGCTGTTGCTGCATTTATAGACCAGGCAATAACCATTTGGCAACTAGAAATTGGCATTTTATGTTCGCCTGTCTGGCCTGTCTCCTCCCCGCCGTCTTCCTGTTTCCCCCGCTCTGGGCATGTGTGTATCCTTTGATTTTTGAATGCAGATTGTTGCGGGATTTATTGATATTGAGTGCGATTGAACCGAACGACCCGAGTGGAGCCTACCCAAAGCTCTGCTCTTCGGCCAAAATATCTCAAATTCCCGTGTACTCGGGACGATGTTGGGTAAAAGAACCTGCACTTTATTTCTTAGTCGACTTAATTAGGCGCAGGAGTAAGGATAAGTTTTTGCCTGTCTGGGCTTCTGAATTTCTTAAAGCATACTTTCAGGTGCGCATAAGAAATTACTTGGCCCAGCCCCGATTTCCTTTGAATCCTTTTCGTCCTGGCATGGCCTCCCCACGAAAATATGCAGCGAAGTCATGCAGAACATTAACAAAACAATGTTTGCCTTCGTTCCAGCATCCTTTGCAGCTGTCCTTGCTGGTGGCATTTATATGCTGCATAATTATGAGGCAGGCATGTGCATGGTTGGGGTGTCTGCATAATTTATATGTTTTTAATGATTTCGCCCTTCGCAAACATTTTTTAATGATTTTCAGATGGCAACATTGCATTGCTTGTGCCATAAGATTTGCCGTTGTTGCATCTATGTGTGTGTATAATTAAAATTGCAATGCACACGAACCGTATGTGGAGAGTGACTTGGCTTTTGTTGCTGATTATCCCCCGCCCCATATAAATATGTTAATTAAAATAATGTTACCCGGCTGCACAAAACAAAAATGCCAAGCAAATGGCTTAGAATAGCCTGCCACACAGAAGAGAGGGCCAGTGGAACGGGCTCCCTGCAGACTCGCTTTGTCGCCGTTTTGCATCTACATGCCACGCTCGACGCCTTTCAATAGGCCCCCGTCACTAGGAGTGCGCACATTACTCGGCATTACGTATACGCAACGGAGCTGCAAGCTGCACGCTGGAGCGCCTGGTCTGCCGCACAGAATGTAAACAAGCGGCAGCATCAGCAGCTGTGGGGAGTGACTTCCGTTGTGGGAAATGCCGACAGTGTCTGGGCAACGTCTTTTGTGCCTTTTCTGCTTATTCAAAATAAATTAAAAATGGAAGAGCAAGAGGAAGGGTGAGAGGGAAAGAGCGGCTCGGGGAATGCAGCCAGCCATCGCATAATTATGAACTTGAAAATTCCACAGGACGGGGGATATTGCATAATTATTTAAATAAAAAGACGCTGCGATTTCTCCGCCCGTTTACTTTCTCCGTCAGCATCTTGAGACACGTCGAGTGGTTCAATCCTTTTGGGAATCGGTTGTTCGTTGCCTTTCCTCCGCCACCATTCCAATCCGCATTGAAATCCCAGCAGCAGCAGAATTACTCCATATGAATTTTTAATTGGAATATTTTTAGAACGTTAGTGAGAGTCAGTTGCACAAAAGTAAAATACTGATAAATTATATATACCCAAGACTATTCCAAATTCATATTTCATTCGACAGCTTTGCCTGGGATGTTTTGGAGTCTTAAGTCTTCCGCTCCCACCCGGATGATAAGTCATTCAACTGTGTGGGACGTAGGATCTTGTGACGTGCCATGCAGCTCGGCTGCCTTTTGAGTATATTTCCCATATTGGGCTGCAACGCTCTTGTTGTTGCCCGAGGTCATTGCAAGTTTGTGCTGCGACACGAAAGTGTCTGCCACTCACACACCCGCACATGCATGTGGGCCCAAGTTGCCCCACATCCTGCTGCTGCTGCTACTGCTACTGCTGTTGCTCCTCTTTCTGGTGTATGAAAATTCATTTCAATTAGTGAAATGGTTTTGGGATTTGTACGGCAACCACCATCGCGCGTTGAGGAGGGCACGACGGGCGGAGTAGGGAGAGCACGTCACTTTGGTGGCATGCAATGAGCGAGATGCAGTGCTTGTTGCAACTTTATTTACCTTTACGTGGGACATAACTTGTAAATAGAGATACAACGGGAGGGCTGCATGTGTGTGTAATTTTGCGGAGTGGGATTTGCGGCAGGATTAAGAGGCATGCGAGAAACTTATGGCGAACTTTCCCGCCCCAATGTCTTGAGGAGGCCATTGAACTGTAGGTCCCCGATTCAGCACCGACTGTTGGGGTAGCTGGGCGGCTGCAAGCCAAAAGTATGCCAAGGCAACAAATATTTAAATTTTAATGCGAAGGAAACGAGAACAACTTTGCTCTACGTAAATGTGTATTTAAAACTTTTTTCGTTTGTTTGTCGCTCCTGCGGCTGCTAATGTTTCTGTTGCTGTTGCCGTTGCCGTTGCCGCTGCCTGCCCCGCAGCTTGTTTAGGCAACGCGGCAAACTCGTTTTCCTATCTGGCTACATCTCTGCCTGGTCCGCACTCCCCGCTTTGGCTCTGCGCAGCTTTACTTAAGTTGCTCCCTCGACGACACTTTTTTGACGCTGTTTTATCAGCGGACCGGCGGCAGTAGCAAATATAACAAAATTTATGCAACTAACCAAATGTTTTTGTTTCTGCATTTTTATCGCCCTAAACGTTTGCCGAAAAAACGACAGCCAAGGAGTGTGCGACTCGTGTGGGGCGACTGCTGTGTCAGAGTTTTATTTTTCCCCAGTTCCAAAGGGAGCTGACTTCAATGAGAATTCGCAATCTGGGGGCGAGTTGGAGCAGAGAAGCAAGAGAGTCCACGGCGAGAGAACAGCGTACAACGTCCAGATACCCTTATGGTAATAGCCTTGACTTCTGCCTGCTCCTTGACCCCCAAAAGTGGACCGCACACACGCTCAAACTTGGCAACTGTATCGGTCAGAGAAATCTTACTTTCTTGAACGAGAATGAAAAAGTTTTCTGGGACCCAGACAGAGGGCAACATATTGTCGCACTCTATAAATTATGCGCATAACCAGAGAAACCCGAGCCAGGAGCAGAGAAACCAGGAGCATGTAAAGCAGCCACCCCCAGGAACCTTCGGTTTGTGGGATTCGGTTCGGTTCGGTTTCTGTCTCAAAAGAAAGAGAAACCAACCAAGCAGAACTATTACAATGGCAAAAAGTTTAACTAGTCATGTGAAGGCTCTCCGTCTCCATTTTCCCTCCGCCCAGCTGGCTGGGTTTAAATTTACTATTATTGCTTTACCTTCTACATGTGTAATGGGCCTAGGCTGGTGGCAGGAAACCGCAGCATTTGGTCGGGGAGTTCTGCTCTTCAGTCAGGAGTCGTTCACCCAAGGTGAGCTGGGGGTGGCTGCTTTGCTGCCTTAGTTATGGGCCTTAAAACTTGTCACACTTGTCAGCAAAAAGTTTCCGACAACCGGAGGATGAATCAGCCAGTAAAAGGGGTGGCCAAAGTTTTGGAAGCCGAGCGGGCGGGTGTGGGGCAGGGGTAACTGTGGTTATTTGATAACCCAATCATCATCGGAATTCAGAGCCAGCTGGGATTATCGATGATGACTTTGGCCAATTATCGAATATTGTCGCGCCAAATGGCAAGGTACACGTGATTGATAAACGAGATTTAGCTTTTGCGGCGCCTAATTGTATGCAACGTGTGCAGGCAGGCACAGGACTCGCCCGAAGACGAGAACGATGGGGCCAAGGACACAGAGGCACACTCAGATAATCACAAACGACATAATCACTGCAATTAGGTGCATTAGTTTATGGTCAAGCAGCAGACACAGAAGACACAGGACAAGCAAACTGACAGTCGGGCAACTGGACGAATGGGCGAATGGACAGACGAACCAACAGGCTGGCCAATTGCCCGGCCCGGTTACGTCAGTTAGTTGGTCAGTTAGTTTGTCAGCTGGCCAGAACTGGCCACGCCCCAATTAGTTGGCCTCCACTTGCACCGCCGCCTGAATCTCAGCGCCTCAGATTTGCTTACAATTGACAGCTGAGTGACATTTGGGACTTAGGCCGGGCTTATATTTTTCCCCTGCAAGACGAGCATCGAGTTGACATTCATTATTCAAATGTCGCACCCGCATGGCAGACATTCCGTAATCCCAGCTTAGTCTTTCATCACACAAACTGATTAGGCACAAGAGAACCTGACAACTGATGACCACAATTGCCGTTTAATTAAAGCCCAAGCCGCTAGGAAATCTGGCAGAACTGTGGGCAAGACCAGTGCGAACTGACAGGAGCAGAGTTGGCAAAGGAGCTGTCATAATCATTGCGTTGGCAGTTTGTTCCGGGAAGGGGTTGTTTTCCCAGCGGGGGCGGTGGTAAATACAAAGGTAGGCCTTCTCTATTATTCAGTCCGCCCTCATTAAACATTGAACCAAATGCTTTTATGGGGAATAAACTTAGGGCGTCTGGGGGAGGATAAGTTCACCTAGGGTTGATCAAAACAAACTCGAATCCATCGGCTCGTTCTTCGTTACATTGATTGATGTTCAGATGAGTTTAAATGGAAAATACAATACTTACCAGCTTTTACATATCAGCTCACCAAAAAAGTCCAGGTCAATTTCAGAAAGAGAGTGCATCCGACAAACATGTTAAGCGATTTACTCTAAATAATTAAAATAGTTACCAGCTATACTCTGCTGTTCTTTTAAAAACATAATTTAAATAGCTAACATTTTAATGCATCTGGCAGTTTCAGTTTTGTTGGCTTAATTTGCTTATTTTTTTGTTTATGCTGCCATTCCAATGCATTGCATTACCTAATTTTGTTCTTTCATAATTTATTTTAAATTTATTAGTTGGCTGATTGTTTTGTAATTAGCATTGGAGCGCAGCTATGAAGGCTGATTCGTATTTGCGGTCGGCCACCGAGTGTGCTGCATTTAAACCCCATTTCGATTGGCCTAATCTTTCCCATTTCGATGGGAGGCCTGTAGCTAAGTGCATGCAATTTGTTTATTGCCATTAAAGCTGTGCCCAAAACTGTGCAGTCTCGATTGCGTCTGACATTAATGCCTGCTAAAACAACACCCCGCCTACTTTCGCACACATTTGTTAGCCAATAAACTTTTGACCTCATTTTACCGTAGAAAAAGCAACACACACACAAACTAAATGCAGGCGAGAGGGCGTGGAGCAGTGGGTGGGTTGGGCTGTAGGTGGGGCTGTATAGAAGGGAACCAACAAAATATTTGTGCTGCCAACCTGGGTGAGGCTGACTGAGCCGGAGAGATTCCGCCTGGGCAGGTTTCGAATAAATAAAATACGACAAAAAAGAAAGAGGAGCCCGGATCACAGAGATGGAGAAGAAAAAGCAAAAATATTTGCACTCCCCGTGGCAGCCCAATGTTATTTCTGCTCTTGTTGTTTCTGTTGTCGTCGCTGGGCCGCCCACAGCAAGGATTATAAATTATAACAGCCTCACACGGTTATTTATGTCGTGTCAATGGGAAGGGGTGTCAAACGGTCGGGGATATATCATCAATGCATGCGGTTAGTTGAGTGGAAATAGCTGCAAAATAAAACTATGAATCGGAGCCTCACTTTAAAGTGGAGCAGGCGAGATGAAAGGGCCTTTAATCGCAGCCAGCCACAGAATCCCACACCATTGAACTAAGCCAGAGATCTGCTTTGAAGCTTTTGATTTATTTGCTTGATGGCAAATCATTAATTTGTTTTCAGAGCCAAACCAAAAAGAAAGTGGGAAAAGCTTAGCTTGCTTTTCAGCTGCTGTCAGATTTCGGGCGACAAACCACCACCGCACGAGCAAAAAGGCACCCGAAAGAAGCAAATTTAAATAAAACGCAAACCAACAAAATAATCCGACACATGCGCTGCCAAATGATTACCCAAGTCCTCGCTCCAAAACCCCGCCCTAATCCCGTGTGCAATGTCTTCCCATTCCCTCTGCGGGCTTGTGTGTTTGCGCCAAAAATAAAACCGGAAAATCACTTCATTTTATTGCACCAACTGAGGAAGCCGAAAGCTGACACTTTCCAAGTTGGCAAAAAAGGGCCCAATCATTAAACGAAGTTGAAGGATCTTAAATCGATTTTTCGTTAAGCGGATACAAAAAAGGTGGTTCAGACTAGATTAAAGACGATGAATAAGTCCCGAATGAAGACACTTCCCTACGTCCGGTGTGCTGACTTCTCGGTCTTGGCTTTCGAGCCGGAACGTTCTCTGATCGTGTTTTTGATCTGCTCGACCAGATCCGTCTGCTTATCCGTGCCGAGATCCATCTGAGTGCTACCGTCGAACAGGCGGCAATTGACCTCCTCGTTGAAGGTGACGTTTGTCTTGCTACTCTTCTTGGAAGTGTCGACGTTGATAAAGTTATCGATGGACTCGGGCAGCCAATGAGCCTCCAGATTGCACTGGGCAGACGGTTCGGTCGGGGTGTGTCTTTCCAGGAGGGGGTCAGGAATGTCCTTTCGCTCCCAGATTCCCTGCTTGTACTCTGGGCCGTACTTAGCAGTCATGGTCTCCTCAAGTTCGTTCAGTCGTGCTGGCGGCTTTCGAACCTTGCGTTCCTGTGAGAGAATGGTCTCCGGTAAGAGGATGTAGCTCCAGCCATGGCCCCAAACTCACCACTTTCAGCAGATATTTGTACACCGCATAGGCGATGCAGCCCAGCATCAAGGGGCAGCCGAGAAACAGTCCCACGTTAAAGCCGTTCAGCTCGGGATCGCTGACCACGTGGGTGACATCGACTGCTTCCAGGGCGAAGGGAGGATAGAAAAAGCGGATGACCTTATAGGTGGCATTGGCCACAATCTGCTGCGGAAAGGGCTTCCAAATGTCCACGAACCGCAGCGACCAGTGCGAGTCTTCGGATGGTACAGTGAGCTCACTGTTTTCCATTATCAAAAGTACAAACGATTTTAATAACTATATTTATACAAAAGAAAGTTAGGGCAGAGAAAGGGCAACGTGAAATTTGTGAAACGTTCTGATACGGGCCTTACTTTGAACTGAGAAAGCGGCACTCTAGAAATGACTGATCCATCAAGGGCAACTCAATTAGGACCAGAAATCGTGGAAACCCTTTAGCCAGACATAAATCATCGCCTACTTTGGAGTCTCGGAATGGCGTCATTGATTTATTAGCAGGACAAACTCTCGATTCGCTGCCGCTACAATCGAGCTGCAGAAATGGCGGTGGCTGCTGGAGTAGAAGTGGGAGCTGAGCAAAACCAGCCAAGCCATCATCAGTCACCAGGCAAACAAACACGCCGACGACCCAGAGCGCAACGGCGTCATATACAAAAAGTGCTTGCATACATTACTCCGGAACCCATGAGCCGGAATAGATCTGGGAGGCGGGACAGGGTGGAGAGTGGCAGAGGAAAGGACGCGTGCTTTCAGGCAGAAACACGTACAAGAAATCATGAAATGTTGCCGCCATCATACCGAAAATTGTACGGGTAACGTGCAAGCAATCAAAGTACATGGAGATGGAGGCAAGTCTCGGCTGGGCCCGACTGCGGCAACTAGAGCGCCTCGACTTTGCCGGTCCTGCGCTCCTCGAGCAGCGCCCACACGTCTGATTTTTACTACACACGTGTGCTGATGTGACGTCGACAGGATTGCGACTGCCTACTGACAACACCAGCGGGCCTGGCCAGGCCCAGACTCAGTCTATGGCTCAGACTGAGACCGACCGGGTCTGGCCGAAATGTAAAGCATAGTTGACGCAGACGTGCCAAGCTCGACGTGGCTGTCGTAGAGGCTGCTTTTTGCTGTTTAAGTAAGCATGCAAATGTCACATGCAGTCGTCGGCCGGATCGAGTGCAGGGGAGTGGAGGGGTAGAGGAATAGGGGAGAAGTGGGCGTGATAAGCACTCTCAGTTATCAACGTGGGCATTGCACGGTTTTCGGGCTTGCCTTTTCTTGCCCCTGCCACACATAAATGATGAGGTACTCGTTGCCTCGGGCTGAATTTAGTGATTTCCCCGAGCATGTGGCATACTTTTTATGCGGCTCCTCCACGTGAGCATAAGGAATTTCTGTTTATGGTTATTGATTCTGCCGAGCGGAGGTGGAGATAGTTTGAGTTATGGCCGTGGGCTGATTTGTGTCAGCAGGAAGTTTAAAAGAGATTGTTGCATACTTTCGGGCGCCCAAAGTGGATTACTCTGAGGGTTGTGGGCCCCCTGATTGAATTGGTTGGGGCGGGATTGGATTGGCATGGATCGGATTGGACGGGGACCTGCAATCAAAAGCCTAGTTTAGTGCGCCACCCCCAAGCTCATAGTTTTGATCAAAAATTCATGGCATACCCGTACGTTGGAGAGGTGTCAATAACATCGACTGCTCCACTGACACTTGCCAAGGAGCCGTGCCTGTCCGTACGTAATTTACAATTACCGCACGCACAGACAATTTATTTTCCAGCGCTAACAAATAAGCTAAACATTTTCGTGGCCAAGGGCTGTCTCGCTCCCAGGTGTATTGCAAATCAAAAAATCAGGCAGGGCTGGGCACGAACACACGCCCAGGCAATCAGTTAAATGTTTGTTGAACTCACCAGCGTCGAGGTCCTTAAGTTCTGGAGAACGCAGAACTCGAGGAGTCCCAAGGGCTTCGCGTCTCCGCTCTCGATGCGTTTCTGCCCCTTGCCGAAAATTGAGTTTGCTTGGCGCCCAGAAACCGCAGAACCAAACAAAAAACCAGAGGAGCAACAGCAGCAGCAGCAACTCCGGAGAACGATGAAGCGGCAACTTGAAAAATCGCTTGTCGCCTTGCGAGCGGGCTACGGGGATGGGGACGGTGTCGGGGTAGACTCACGCGCAGACGTAGTGATTTGGCTTTAAAAAAGCAAGGAACATTCCGGAGGAGGAAGCAGCAGGCATGAGGAAAGCTGCCACGTAATGAAACTGACAATTTAACTCACAGTCAGCCAGTTGTTTTGGATTTCAGTCCGGGTTCGACGGCGCTGTGTGCGTGCTGAAAAATCGTGTTATCGATTTAATGCGTTACGATATATAAGTATATACCCCTAGTGTGTGGTGGTTGAAGGGTTGGGTTCGAAAAGGGTCGCTTGCCTCTGGCTTTGGCTTTTATCGTTCGCCTCTGTCTTTGCGACTGACTGACTTTATCGTGTTTGTTTGCAAGTCTTGTCTTTTGACCGTTTTTCTCCCGTCGCTCTCCCTATGACCCCATCCCGCTGGCCTTTTCGGGCTGCAAAGGCATTTGATTAATTTGCAGCAGTTTTCAATTTGAAATTGCTTTAGTTTCCTGCAGTTTTTGCCATTTTCCTTCCCAGTGTGCAGGAATTGACGGCACTTTTGAGGCCACTCTCCCTCTCGGCGTGTCCTCCACTTTCTCCGCTGCTTTCTCCCTAAGCCGTTGCCCAAAACTCGACTCAGTAAGTGTGTGAGTGTGTGTGCGGATATGTGAAACGTTGAAAGCTTCTTATGGAATGTTAAGTGATTTTTTATTGAATTTTTAAGCCCCACTTAGGCGTTGTCACTGGAAGTATCCCGAACCTTTTCCCAAACGTATCTCACTTCCGCTCCATCCTGCTGGCTTGCTTACTAAATTAACAACCTTTTCTTGTTCTCTTTTTAGGTACGTATACGCAATTTTATGACTCTGTCCCCTCGGGTGAGTGCGAAATATTGAATATCGGGGCAGATAGAGGGGTTTATGGGGGTGAGATAATGAGGAATCGCCGTTGTGCGTTAGACGGAGCCTTTACTGGTTCACACTTTCAGCGGCAAATGAGAGCGCAAACAAAGCCGCCGGCTACAATGATCAAATTTAACGCGCTTTTTAAACCAAACAAAAGCAAATTGCAACGGCAGCGCACACACGCTGTTGGCACAGACACATGCACAAATACGCATCCCCCAGATGCACACATGCATACTAATTATGAGTGTGCGCCGCACATTTAAGCAAATATAAACAAAACGTTAACGACAACAAACAGGAGCACGGCGGGCTGGGGGCCGTGTAGTTGGGTGGGTGGGTCTGGGTGGAAAGGAAGATGTAAACGCTGCACATGCTGGCGCTGCCATCGAAGGAGACGGATCGGAACGTGCCATTGTGGGATCCGAGAACTGGAATGGAACTTGATGAACTGCAGCTCCGACAGCTTATCGCTTCTCCTCCTGTGATGACTGTGTGATTTCATGTGCTTATTGTTATCGTCGCTCTTGCCGCCACTGCTCCAGCTATTGTGCATTACTGTGATTATTATTATTAAAATGCAAATGAGCCATGCAGACTTGTCAAGCATTCACATTCACATCCACATCCACCCGTTGCCATTAATGGGCGAAGACGACGACAGAAGCAGTGCGAAATGAAGGTTTACATCGAGGAATAAACATGCAAAATGCTTTAAGCGATAGCCGGCACTCGAAACGATGCACCGAGCTGCCCCGTTGGTCATCATCGGAGTTTTTGCAGCCATGGCCATGCAGACGTCATCATCAATTGCTGGTTGGCTGCCCATTAACATAATTTCAATTTGCATAAAATGGCGTTAAATATTACATTTTGGACAGCTGCCGCCTGCAATGACTGACAGCGCGGCCTGTTGTCGAGGGGCTGTGGCAGGTTCATTGAGCTAATTGCAGGTGCGAATGTGTCGCAATGAGCATTGCACATTGCACGCCCCACCAGACACGCAAGGCGTCGAGTTGGGAGAGGGGAGTGGCCTTTTGGCTTTGTTTGATGTTTAATTTAGATTGAATTGCTGCATAAATTATGGCGCACAAAAATGATTTCAAAATTATTGCTGGTTTGTTTGCGGTCAATTTGAACTGCAACTATTGCATAATTTGAGGCTTCAGGCCAATTAAATGGAGCCCGCACACACAAGCATTTCGAGCATTCAGCATTTATGGGCTGCATTTTTTGTATTTGTGAGCCCGTTGGAACCGTTGCGTTGGGGTAGTATCCATTCAAGACCAGCGCAGTTGCCACTCCGAACTTCCTTCCAGGCAATTTCCCCAAAACGTCGACTGCCATGGCTGTCTAATGTGCATTTCCCCGCTCTCGGCCTGCTTCCTGCGTCCCGCTCCCACCAACTGACACTTCACACGCTCAACGATTTTTGATTTGGCAGCTCGTTTGCCAAAATGCAGCTGCAGCGGCAACGGGAACGGCAACAAAACTGAAACGATTCAGCCAGCCGCCCACGCCACGTCGCTCGCTAGCGCATTTGCAAGTGATTTTATGCATATTTCATGGCATACTTTTGCGCGCTATTAGCAGCCTCAGCTCTCAAGTCGGGCTATTCATTTATTATTTCGACTGTTTCAAACTGAAAGCCTTTCGATGGGGCGGCTGGCAATTGCGTGGCATCGTAGCGACAGGGCCATCATCGTTATTATCGAAACTTTGAAGTATTTCCAACTCGATTACCATAACCCAACTAAGAATCGTAATCAAATTTACCCATTTGACACTAAACTTGAAGCAGTACGGGCAGGGGTTGGGTTGGAGGTTGTTTACGCAGAGTTTGCCGGGCCCTAAATTGAGTTAGACAATTAGAAATTGTGCGTCTGCATTCAATATGGCAGTGAGGCGCCCTCAGGCAAGCCATAAACTTTGGCCTATTTCCCTTAGACATCTCTGAAGGCACTCTCAGAGTCAGATCTTCTCCAATGCATTAAGAGCATGCTTCTGCATAAAACGCTCTGTCCCCGAAAATACCCATAGCCATAACCAAGTTAAGACCGCAAACGCTTTGCCAATGAAACAGAACCGAAATGCGGCTGGGTTAGACTATGCCTTCGCTTCCAACTTTTTATACAAGCTATATAAAGTGAATGCAAAAACATTTTCCCATGCATATTGAAAGGAGTATAAAGGGATCTTGTTGAGTTTATAAGCATATTTTGGAAGTATGAACAGTCAATGCATTAGTAGAGGGTATATAGGCCGTAAGCTCCAAGTTTCATGACTTTAGTAGGCTTTGCTGGTGAGTCTCGACTCTATCAAGTAAAAATCCTACGATTGTTGCGTTGTCCGCTCTTGATTTTGGCCCAGAAAGCCATGCAAATAGGCCATAAACTCATATTTTATTGCCTTGGCCAACAGTCTGCTCATGCAATTCTAATGGTCATGACTCTCTGCAGCACTTTCCCCTCGATCCATGAACAGTCTAAGCTCATGCCAAACATTTGGGAGCTGCAAGCACATACTTTGGGGTTTGACTCACGCCAAAGGAGTCTGACTGCAATGAGAATGTGTTTGTTGACAATAGACTTTTGGCATCATGTGCATTATGTGATTGCATACTTCCAGGTGTGTTGGCCCAAATGCCAAAGAACACATCCTAAGCATATTCACACTCTGCACAAATCAATTTGCAATGATGAGCACAGTCTTTGGAATTTATCTACTTAAAAAGCAATTCTACACGATACAAAATTTCTTTGTAAAACCAACCAGTACAAACCAATAGTTATTATTTAATTTAATTGAAAATTAACATTAAAGGTAATGTATGTGGTTGTTCTAGTCTTTTAGTAGGCAAGTATTTGCAAAGTACAGTCTTAATTTTTTAGTGTTTAACTTGTGGGCAGTGGCGTGGCAGGAGGGTAAATAAGTAAAAGTACAATGTTTGCGGTTAATTCAGTTGGCAACAAACAAATACAAGGTATCGTAATGTTTTGATTCAACCAACAAAAGTGTTCTGTGTAGAGATATCGCTGTGGGCTTTTTCTTTCCCGCTTCGGACAAATCAAGGATAATAAATAATCCAAAAATTGATTAATATATGTTTGGAAAATGCATTAAGTCGAAAACTGGCCATCAATTAAAGCCACGAGTGCACCGTATGTGGCTGTGCCTATCTACTTACCTAGTTTCTATGCACATTTCATATATCATTTATGTACACACACTGCGTTTATCTCTGTTTTTATGCTTCCCCGAGGCATTTCACATGGACAAAAGGCTTTAAAATGCCCATTTCGCTTTAACAAAACAAGCCAGCACGAAAAGCGTGCCGCAGATAATGCAATTTGATTATTTTTGCACTATCAACTAATTAAAATTATGGAAAATATAATAATTACTCCCCCGCTTCGACGCTCCCGCTGCTTTGAATCAGTGGCTGCCCTATAATCGGCTCAATAAATTAGCACGATAAAAACAGCTCGGAAATGAGGCGAAAAATTGCAAAACACACTTTTAGGCACTTTCCCCATTAATGTCGGTTGCCCACAAATAATGGAAATCGAATTTAAACTTTTTCAGTTTTTCAATTCTTCTATTCATGGCAGAATGAATATTTCAATGTTGATAATCAATTAAAAACTGACTTTTTGCCGTTGCAGCTTTGAATTCACTAGCAAATGATTTGACCTCACCTAGAAAGTTCTCCCCGCCCCGCCCACCTCTCACTCTGTCTCGTTCTCTCCATCTGTCTGTCTCCCTCTTCTGCCAACATACAGAGCACTTAATACAATTTGCATTCCGATGTTTTTGTGTTTGCATTTTGCATAAAAGCCGAAACTCTCCATTTCCATTCCCCGTAGATCTCCCTCTATTCCGTGTGTCTCCTGTATAAATTTCAATTTGGCTTGGGAAATTCAGCATTTTGCAGCTGTCAAGGAAATTATTGTCTGCCAGGCTAAGTCCTTGATATGTTGTCGCTTTAATTAAACAACCACAAAAAAGAACAAGATTTCTTCTCGGGTCTGGATTGTGAATTGTGTAAAATATGCATATTTCTTGTGTACTCTGTCTCTCGTTAAAGTGTTAATTTTATTGACATGTGACAGCCAAACAAACAATTTGTTTGCCTCCCGGCCAAATTGTTTGACTGCCAATGTTATTTGTGGTCGCAATGGACGTTTTAAATGAATTTAATGAACGAAGAACTGGACGCCCGAATAAATGGGACAGGTAGTAAACCCAGCCCAATGGGAGTGGAAAATGGAAAAGCAAACTGTAAAAAAGAAAACATTAATCAGCGTTAAAAGTCGCATTAGCAGTAAACAAAATCAGGAGCGGCAGGGGCAAGAACAGGAAGGGACACCGTGGGGCAAGGGATTTTGGGAGGGAGCTAGCAAATTACCGAACCGAACCAAACCAAACCCAAAAAGCAATCCAGTGCGAGTAAAACTGTCGAAACACAAAACGCAAAAGTCAAAGAAAATTGGTGAAAGCTACGAAAAGCGAACGCAGGGCACGCGATGGTGGCGAAATGAGTGACTGGCAGTGAAAATCATTAAAAAGTCGTAAAAATCAAGGAAAATGGTAAACAACCAGCACAAGAAAGAAAACCGAAAACGGGCTGAGGGATGAGGGCGAAGTCCGAGCGGAAGAAGGAGGGATCCAACCGAAATACGCACGCTTTATAATTAGAATTTAATCAAGCGCGAATCGCAAACGTTCGCAATTTCCCAGAGTGGGAAAAGCGAAAGAAAAGCAAAGGGGTTGCCCCTGGTGAAGGCAAAGGCAGGAGGTGTAGCGAGGGCTGACTGCGTGCAGCTATTGTTTAAAGTGTAATTAAAAGCGTCGTGGAAACCTTTTAGTGTGCAATGCAGGACGCAGAGCGATGATATTAAATTTCCTCCTAAAACGCACAAACAAAAAGCCGGCAGAGCTTTACAGCATGCTCTTAGGCACGGCTTAAAAAT